AGTGTACTTCTTTAGAATTTTGTCAACTGCATCAAGTAAATGTTGATGTAGAAAATGTTTATAAGAATTTATTTGACTCAAACTTACTATATATGCCAGGGAGCAAGATCTCAAATGCTCCCTGTTCTCTTTCTTCAAAAGTCTTAGTTTCCTTGGCCCTTAGCCTTTCCATATACATTTTAGAATCAGTTTCTGAAGTTCCTCTCTCTCCTCTCTCTCTTTCTCCCTCTCTCTCTCCTGTTGGAATTTTTATGGAAATGATAGATTAATTTAGGGGAAATATCTTTATGATATTGCATTTCCCGTCCCTGAATATGGACTATCTCTCTTTGCATTTAGGTATTCTTTGATGATTTTTCAATAAATTTTCATAAAATTTTCCTCAAAGATTTTACAGCTCTTTTGTTGGTTTGTTTTATGCCTAGTAACACTGTATTTTGTTTCAGTAGTTGCTTTTGAAAACTTGTTAATAGCCTTTTCTGAAATTGGATCTCATTGTCTTCTCTTTCAGTTGAATCTGACTTAGAGAGGGTTTATGTTTAATTTTTTTATTTTTAAAATATTTTTTAATTGAGGCGGGGGAGATTTGTTGGTCCACTCATCCAGTGGCTGATTCTTGTATGTGCCCTGACCAGGAATCAAACCTGCAACCTTGCCTTATCAAGATGACACTCTAAGCAACTGAGCTCCTCTGTCAGGATGAGAGAGGGTTTGAAATTCTGTTTACCCTTTACCCAGATTCAGCAAATGTGACGATTTGCTACACATTCTCTCTCTGTATCACTTTACATGTGTGTAAAATAAATAAATAAATGAAATATATATATATATATATATATATATATATATATATATATATATCCCAACATATATAGTTTTTAAAAAAATACTCAGAAGGCACCTCATGTCAGTTTATCCCATTATTCCACTAATGGTTAGTTAACTTTGACAATATGGCTAAAGTGGTGTCTGCCAGATTTATCTACTATAAAGAAACCACTTAATCCTTTGTAATTGATAAAGAATCTTTAGGGAGAAGCTTTGAAACTATGCATTCAAACTTCCATCAACTAGGTTTAATGTGGTAAAATATAGATACCATAAAATTTACAATTTTAAATGCACAATTCAATGGCATTCATTCAGTAAATTCACATTGTTGTGCAACCATCATTACTATCCATCTTCAGAACTTTTCCTCCAGCTTTCTCAAGACATAAGTGACATATAGAAGTTTAGTCACATATAGTGACATTGTAGAAGTTTAAGATGTACAACACATTGATTTGGTACTTTTATATATTGCTAAATGATCATCCCATAGATTTAGCTAATATCTCCATCATATCATCAACTAATTTTTTAACATGCACGGATAATTCCTGCCTGAATCTATTACTATAATGATTGCAAATGGTTATTAGCTGGCATTCTAGTGTAAGGAAATTTCAATTTTACAGAAAAAAGTTTTCCCACCTATGTGTGTTTTTATCATCAGCATGGATGCTCATGGATTCTTTAGTGTGTAGTTTTTATTGTCCTATTCATTTGATGCACAGTTGTCCCAGTGAGATTACCTCTCTCCCCTTCTTCCTCTTCCCTCTCCCCCCTCCCCAGGCACCACCACCATTCAGTTTGCTCTTATGTTCTTTTGACACATCCTTGTCATTTTATGAGCATTTTTTTTTTTGGCTTAACAATATGTTCCTCGTATTTTTTGCCTTACCATTGAATCAGCCAACTCTCCAAGGATCCCTGGGTTCTGCTTTTACAGAGCAATAGTACTTAGAAACCAACATCTGGGAGATAAGAAAAATGCTATGCTCTGGGCTAGTGGCCTGGCCTTTGGTGCATTTTGGTCACCAGAGGGCAGTACTTCTTAGAAAAACAATGCAAAAGACCCAGAATCTGGATAGGGCTGGGCAGGCCATGCTTCCTGATGGAGGTGTCTCTAGTTCTCTTTCCAAAAAAGAGAAACACACACACACACACACACACACACACACACACACACACACACACACACATAGAAACAAACAAAAAGAGAGAAACACAAGCCCCATACCACTTGCTTACCACCATTCCAATGTATAAAGACACTCCCATCACCCTACCTGGTTTGGCTCAGTGGATAGAGCATCAACCTGAGGATTGAAAGGTTCTGGATTCGATTTTGGATCCCAGATTCGATTTTGGTTAGGGCACATGCCCCAGCTGCGGGCTCAATCCCCTGTGGAGGGCATGCAGGAAGCAGCCAATCAATGATTCTCTCTCATCATTAATGTTTCTATCTCTTTCTCCCTCTCCCTTTCTCTCTGAAATTATATATATATATATATATATATATATATATATATATATATATATATATGTTTTATTTTTTTTAAAGACATCTCTATCCTCACCCAGACTGCCCCACCAGTACATGCCTCATCTGACCCCCATCCAATTTCTTCATATCTTTTTTTCTGCAGTCTTCTAAGTGGGGGTTAGCTCTGAGGCAGAGAGCAAGAGGGGATGGATATGAGACTTTAGGGAGTTCCTGATTTCTCATCACCCCACCCCACCCTATTTCGAGCACAACTCGAAAACACAGCTGTAGGTAACAAATACAAGAGGCCCCTTCCTCCTCCAGTGAGGCCCCACTGGTAGGATACAGCCTCTCAGCTCATTGTCCCTCAGGGGCCTCAGGCCACAACTGGCTCCCTCCTTCTGGGCCTGGAAGGCAGGAAACCCAGAGGGGAGGGCTTCCACAGGGGCAGGCCACCAAAGTGAGCTTGCAGCCTGTGCTCAGAGTTCCTACCTGCTTCTCTGTTGACTGTATCTGCCCTCCTACCCCCATATTGATCAACTCAGAGGAAGTTATGGGGTAATCTCTTCCCTCCGTTTATTTATTTTTTTACAAGTAAACTAGAATATGAAATACACACACACACACACACACACACACACACACACACACACCAATAGAATATTTCAGCAATTTACATTTATGGTTCAATTGCATTATTTTATTTATTTACCAGAGGCCTGGTGCATGAAATTTGTGCACCGGGCGGGGGGGGCGGGGAATGTCCCTCAGCCCAGACTGCACCCTCTCCAATCTGGGACCCCTTGAGGGATGTCCGACTGCTCGTTTAGGTCCAATCCCAATCCAGGACTGCTGGCTCCCAACTGCTCACCTGCCTGCCTTCCTAATTGCCCCTAACGACTTCTGCTGCCAGCCTATTCACCCCCTTACCACTCCCATGCCAGCCTGATTAATGTCTAACTGCTCCCCTGCCAGCCTGTTTGTCCCAACTTCCCTCCTCTGCCAGCCTGGTCATACTTAACTGCCCTCCCCTGCAGGGTTGATCACCCCCAACTGCCCTCTCTTACAGGCCTGGTGCCTCCCAACTGCCCTCTCTTGCTTGCCTGATCACTCACAACTGTCCTCCCTTGCAGGCCTGGTCCCTCCCAACTGCCCTTCCCTGCTGGCCATCTTGTGGTGGCTAAATTGTGTCCACATGGGGGCAGAATCTTTGACCACATGGGAGCAGCCATCTTATGTGTTGGAGTGATGGTCAATTTGCATATTACTCATTTATTAGATAAGATTTCATCTTTTCCTTTCTTTTTCCTTTTTTGTGGTTCAATTACTTTAGAGGCATGCATTTACAATTGAGTACATACTTCTACCCTAGGAATTAAGTGCCATTAATTTTTGTATTTCTCTTTCCCTCTGGAAGGAGTTTTACCCAGGCCTGGCAGAGTAGGGCATTGTAAATGCTGACCCTGTCCGTCCTTCTCTACCCTCTCCCACCAGGACTGCTGCAGTAGCCTCCTGACCCTTGACTCCATCCAGTCAAGACTTCCAGGCAGAGCTAACCGGATTACTCACCTGATTCAGACCCCCCTGTGGTGCTTCTCCACCTCAGAGTACAACCCAGCCTCTCAGCCCGCACCTTCAGGATCCTCCCAGCCCTCCAAACTGCCACTCTTTCTCCTTCTTCTTCTTCTTCTTCTTCTTCTTCTTCTTCTTCTTCTTCTTCTTCTTCTTCTTCTTCTTCTTAATAAGGTATTTATTAATGATGTCAAACGCAAGGTTTTTTTAAAAAAATATATTTTATTGATTTCCTGCAGAAATGAAGGGAGAGAGACAGAGAGCTAGAAACATTGACAAGAGAAAAACACGATCAGCTGCCTCCTGCACACCCACCACGGGGATGTGCCCGCAACCAAGATACATGCCCTTGACCGGGATGGAACCTGGGACCCTTCAGTCCGCAGACCGACGCTCTATCCACTGAGCCAAACCAGCTTTGGCTAAACTGCCACTCTTGCTCCTCCAACCCCAACCCCCAATCTGAAGCTCCAGCAACTCTGAGCTCAAATTGCCCCTCCCCCGCCCATCCAGTGTCCTGTCTACACCTCTATTAGCTGCCTCTACCTAAACTGACCTCCCCTCCTATCTTCCATAACGTTGGGCAGCAGATAAAAATTTGCCAGCTCCTAGTGATGCCTCTTCCTGCTCTTACTTAGAATAAGCGACCTGCCTTCTCCAATAAAATTCTACCCACCCTCCAATCAAGGCCTTTCTCTTAGCCTCCCTCATCCACCGGGGACAGCTCTTGGCTCCCTCAGTGGGCTATGAGGACAGGGCCAGCAAAGGGTGGGAGTAGAAATGGCTAAGAAATTATGATTAACCAGGCCGCCTCTTAACCACTTCTCAAACTTTAACATGAATACAAATCAACTGGGGAGGGAGTGTAAAACCAGATTCTGACCCTGTTGTTTGGGTGGGGCTGAGAGCCTGCATTGCTAACAAGCTCCAGGTGATGCCCATGCTGCCGCACCGGGTGCCAGTTTGAGCAGCAAGAGCCTCGCTGACTGGATTGGCCGAGGTGGGGGGGGGGAGTGGAGGGCAGGTGGGAGCCCAGGTGTGGGCGGCGATCCTCCAGGGTATAAGAGGGCAGGCGGGGGCTGCCCAGCAGTTACTGGAGGGAGTGTGTGTAGGTGTCATGGCGCTGAACTACGGGCTTTTCGTCTGCTTTCTGCTCTGGGGAGGCACCGAGCTGTGCTGCTCCCAGCCCATATTGCAGACAGGGACCCCCCGCGTTGTGGTGGAGTGCCTGGAGGCCCAGCTCCTGGTCACTGTCAGCAAAGACCTCTTTGGCACCGGGAAGCTCATCAGGCCTGCAGACCTCACCCTGGGCCCCGAGGACTGTGAGCCCCTGGACTCTGTGGGCACCGATGACGTGGTTAGGTTTGAGGTTGGGCTACATGAGTGTGGCAACAGCCTGCAGGTGAGGCTTGGACTGGCATGGGTGGGAGGACATGGGAGAGGTGGCGCCCAGTGGGGAGTGTGGATTCAGAGACAATGCAGTGGGGACTAGGGTAGTAGCTCCCTTTCACTTGTGGGGTGGAGCAGCTGAGGCCTAAAGCTGGGTTGGGAGGAGGAAGGGAGGGATGAGGTTGGGGAGTAGGGGAGGTGATGGCTCCTACCTTTAGCTGGCCAAATTAGGTAGGTGGGTGGAGTCCAGAGGGCAGTGCATTTTAGGTCAGACTGGGGAGTGAGGGCGTAATGTGGGAGGCATGTTCAGGAGGAGAACTGAGTTGTCCAGGCCAGACCTCTCCCCTAAAATGGGGGGTTAGTAAGTCCTCAATGTCATGAATAGGTTCTGTGCCTTTCAACAATATAGCCTATAACAAAACCAATTTTATGACAGGCAATAATGCTATAATGCTATAATGCTATAATGCTATAATGCTATAAAGCTATAATGAAACTGCTATCCTCAGGGTAGGGGGGACCTTCCAGCAAGGCAGGACAGATCCCTAGCTGGTCCAAAATCCCCTGAACTCATTCTCTTTCATGAAGAATCTGTCCTCCCTCCATCATGGGGCTCCCACTTCTGCCCACCCAGCTCTGGACTGAGATCTTAGTAGTTGGCTGGGGCGGGACAAGCCCAGCCCCTGGAGGCATCCACCTGGAGCTCTCCCTTTAGGTGTGGTTCCCAGGGTTTGCCTTGAAGACTCCTGGGCCCTTGTATCCCTGGGGAGAGGGTTGGGAAGCCAGCTAGGTGTGGCAGTTATTTAAGGAATTAGTCTAGCTTAGTAACTCTCCAATCCTTGCATTAGATTCAGCTGTTAAAACTAAGCTGGGGCTTTTAGAACTCCCAGTTCTCATATCCCAAACCAGAACAGAAGGGGGAGCCAGACCTCAATATCTCAGATCCCAGATGCCTCCACTAGCCTGACAAGTGCAGAGTTTCCCGTGATTGGTTTCCCAGTCCCGCCTGATAAGGATCACCTGGGGTCAGGGCTGCTTGGGAATGACTCCCGCGCCTTTCCACAGCCCACACGTGGTTTACTCCCCCGCTGCCCTGAAAATCTTGTGAACATTCTCACTTTGCAATGGGTCCCACAAACTATGCAGCTGGTCTGCTGGACACTCTTTAATAGAAGCTGGGGCTCTTCCCTGAAGGTTGAGGGGTTGGGTGGGCCAGGCAACCACTTGGGCCCCAGGTGACCTCCTGAAAAGCTGATGAGAAGCTGCAAATTGCTCCAGTGGCACCTGCCTGTGCTCTTCCTGCCTCAGGCAGCCCCCGAACCCATTTGGCTTTCTATGGAATAAGTCAGAAGAGGCAGGGCACCTGGTGCTAACTGAGCTTCATGGAGAACTTGACAAGGAGCAGATGTGCGCCTAGGAACCACGCTCTCCCGGGTCCCAGCAGAGCAGGCTTTGGGTCCGGGCCTGTGTTCTCCGTTGGGCTCCCCTCCCTGCTCCCTGGCCCAGGTTGGGCCCAGCTCTGGCAGGTGAAGCTGGTGGGGTTGACCCTCCCCTTTCCTTCAGGTGACCGAGGACGCCTTGGTGTACAGCACTTTCCTGCTCCACAACCCCCGCCCCGTGGGAAACCTGTCCATCGTGAGGACAAACCGCGTGGAGGTGCCCATAGAGTGCCGCTTCCCCAGGTCAGTGTGAGAGGTGCCAAGGCCCCTTGGCGATCCCGTCGGCCTCCCAGCAGCATCTGGCAGCATGGCTGCAAGAAGGTGGACGTGCATGGGCTGTGGTCATTGCCCTCAGCCCTGGGTGGAGTCAGGGGTTCCCTGAGAATCTGAAATGCAGCTGGGCTACTGCTGCCCCTTGGTGAAAGCTGTCCAGCCCCCCCCCCCCCCCTTGGAGTTCAGAAACTTTTTCAACAGTGTAGGGGGAGGTCCCAAGCTCTGACCAACACATCCGGCTGTTTCCCTGTGGTTTAACCCAGGCCACCTGTGTGGGTGGGGGAGCCCCTCAAGCCCTGAGCACTAAGCAGTGCCCGTGAACTTCGGCGCTGCGGTGTGAGGAGAGGGTGGCTGTAGCTCATCACACAACACAGGGTCCTGTGCTGGGCTGAGTGCTGAGTGTGTAGGTCTTAATCCCTGTCCTCCCCTCTGGGGGAAGCTCGGGGAGGATGGTGCTGATACCATGAGGGTACAGGGGTGAGCATGCGCCGGGACAAAGGTCAAGGGAGGAGTTCCCAGAACAAGATCCCAGATGGGGCTTTAGGAGAGGCGAGGCTGAGACAGTCTAGGCAGAGCCACATACACCCCAGGGGAGGGCAGTGAGTCACTAGCCGGGGCTACAGCCTGGGGGCCTGGTGCCTGTGGCTTAATAACGGGAGGGGACCGACGGGTTCTGAAGGGCAGAGATGCAGTGAAGGTGTTCAGGCTCAGTTTGAACACCCCAAGCACCCTCCCCAAGCACCAACAGAATGAGAACTAATTCTTCAACCTGGAAGGTCCTCTGGTAGCTGGTAGGAGAGACAGGTGGGAGCTGGTAGGATCAGCTGGAGACTGGGATGAGAGGAGACCTGACCTGTGGCAGCTGACTTGAGAGAGCTAAGGAGAGCTGGAGGAGCTGGTGCCTGATGATGTTCGGTGAGGGACATGGAATCGCCAAGGGCAGGGAGAGAATTGAAACCAGAGAGAATTGAAGCCTTGCTGGAATCATGGCCATCTCTCACTTCAAAATAGCTCTGCTTGGGACTGAACGGAGCATGTTGGCTCACCCGGCCGGATGTCTGCAGACTGTGGGGAGGCTTGCCTCGGGCTGAGATACCTTATCCTAGCTCCAGTTAGCGGAGGTCTGGTTCTTGAAGTAGCCTTTCCCATGAGATCCCCCTAGGGTCCGCGGGGCAGATGTCTTGAGACACCTGACTGCTTCCAGGGACTTCCTGTCTCGGTTTAGGCTCAGTATCTCACTAGCTTCTCAAGAACCAGATGCCTGCGTCCCTCGCCTGCTGCTGCTTGGTCCGGAAGGAAGGAAGGATGTCTGGTCTAATTAGCATATTACGCTTTTATAATTATAGATCGTTTAGGGAACTTTGGTGCATTGCTAAAAATCCTGACCTAAGAGCAAGGTCAAGCATGCACACGTGTTAGAGAAGTGGATTTAAAAGATTGCCTCAAGTCCTGGCCAGTGTGGCTCTGTTGGTTGAGGTTATCCCTTGCACAAAAAGGTTGCTGATTTGATTCTGGTCAGGGCACATGCCTGGGTTTAGGGCTCCAACCCCAGAAGGGAGTATGCAGGAGGCAAGTGACCAATGTTTTTCTCTCCCCCCACCCTCTGCAGTCCCCCCTCAAGTCAATAAAAACATATATATATATAAAAGAATCAGAACTACCTGCATCTGTCTCTGAGGACTTCTTCACTAGGACTGACCTCAAGAATCCTGAGTAGTAGAGAGGGACTGAGCCTCCCAGGTGAACCTTAACAAGGAGCAGATGTGGGTCTAGAAACCAAAGTAACTTGACAGCTGCCTCCCAGCTGTAGCTCAGATGTCCTCGTGACTGGGAGGAACCACTCACCCATGTTGAGTTCAAGAGGTTAAGGGACAGGCTCAGACTTCATGTGTTTGTTCAACTAACTGTCTGGCTGGGTCACAGCTAAAGACTTTGCAATGAGGTGGAAGTGAGACCCCCTCTAATGTGGAGCCATAGGGGGTGAGCCCCATGGCAAGTAGCTCCTGTTCTCTTCCCAGGCAGGGCAACGTGAGCAGCCACGGCATCCTCCCCACCTGGGTGCCCTTCAGGACCACAGTGTTCTCAGAGGAGAAGCTGGTTTTCTCCTTGTACCTGATGGAGGGTAAGCAAGGAGGGCTGTCAGGGGGAATTGGTGAGGGGAGCTGGCAGGGAGAGGCTCTCACACCTGACTGTGTCCTTCAGAGAACTGGAGCTCTAAGAAGAGGTCCCCCACCTTCCAGCTGGGAGACACAGCCCACCTGCAGGCCGAAGTCCACACTGGCAGCCACGTGCCACTGCGACTGTTCGTGGACCACTGTGTGGCCACCCCGACGCCAAATCGGAATGCCTCCCCTTATCACACCATCGTGGACTTCCATGGGTGAGGGCTGGGCTGCCTCTCTGGGGAACCCTCAGACCATGACCTATGCTGCCTTCTTCAACCTTTAACCTCATTCTTCACTCATTCTCTTCAAAGTTGTCTCGTGGATGGCCTCTCCGATGCTTCATCTGCTTTCAAAGCACCCCGACCGGGGCCGGAGACTCTCCAGTTCACAGTGGATGTGTTCCACTTTGCTAATGACTCCAGAAACATGGTAATTCCTCTTTCTTAATACCCAGAACTTCAGTGGCCAGGCCAATCAGGCTTACTCTGCTGCTTTGGCTCACTAGTTGTCTTAAGTAATAACTTAATAGCTCTGCCCCTTTCTAGTATCTCCACAACTTGCCTTGTAGATAAAGCCATGGGCTCTAGAGAGATCTTCAAGGAGAAGGCACGGTTGGCACAGGTAGCAAACCCATGAAGGATAGAGACAGAACCAGGGATCCTAGAAATAGAACAAAGTAGAAGAAGAACCCAGGAGACTTAGCTGAGGGTCAAATAAGACGAGCACCAACAACCATAGTATTTGGTGACCAGGTCACTGATCTTGTCCTTGCCAAGGGCAGTGGGGCCAGAACCCAGATGATGGGGGATGAGTGTTGAGTAAAGGAGTTGAAAAAAGCAGATGTCAGCTTTCTAGAGGCTTTCTAGAAGAGTAAGGAAAGCAGATGACAACTTTTCATACAGCGAAGCATCTTAAACTTGATCATAGGCTTAGACCAGTGATTTTGTGAAACCCAAATGCATCAGTATCGCCTAAAGGGCCTGTTGAACTAGTTTGCTGGGCCCTGCCTCCAGGGTCTGGCTCATCAGGTCTGGATTGGAGCCTAGAATCTGCATTGCTGACAAGTCACCAATGGCTGTGGCTGCGGCTCTGGGGGCCACCCCTTCAGAACCATGAGTGAGAAAGCCCACTTGGAACTAAGGGGATGGAGGGAGTGGGAGCTGAAATGTAGACTGCTCCTGATGACTGAGGTATGGACAGATGGGGCAGGAAGCACAGGTAGGACTACCTTATAGTCAGTGCTAGGAGAATTTTACAAATAAAATCAAGTAGCTTTTTATTTTTAAAATATATTTTGATTTCAGAGATGAAGGGAGAGGGAAAAACATTAGAGAGAATCATTGATTAGCTGCCTCCTGCATGCCCCTCTACGAGGAATCTAGCCTGCAACCCAGGCATATGCTCTGACCAGGAATCCAACCATAACCCTCTGGCTCATAGTATGATGCTCAACCACTGAGCCATGCCAGCTGGGCTCAAGTATCTTTTAAGCAAGTTAGGAATAAGGGTTGTAAAGTTTGAAATAGCTGGTCAGAAGGGAGAAGTGATGAAAACAGAGGTTCTCAACTCCAGCTCTATACTAATCTCTGGAAAGTGATTATGATACTTGCATATATTCCCATATAGTTTCACTTAATGGAGGCAAAAGGGTTGGCATCGGCCTTTTCCAACATCTTATAAAAATCTTCAAACATTAAGCTGAAATAATTTTATAGCAAACATCTATGTACCTACCATGTAGGTCCTACCATTAATGTTTTACTATATCATCATCCATCCACTAGTTTATCTTGTTTTACTTGAAAATGCATCAAAAGCCACTTAAGCTCCCTGTGACTCTAATAAACAGCTAGGTTAGCAAACCACTGAACCAGAGGCACAAAGGCAAGCAGTGTGAATTTGTAGAAGGGTATATTGCTGCTATCTCACCTCGCCCAGAGTTCTGTTCTGAGAACAGAAGTAGTTGATACAGACTGGTAGATAGCAGGAGGGGCAAGAATGAAAGCTGTTAGTGCGATGTCCCCAAGCTTCTGATGGCAGGTCCTGGATTGAACGGAACTGGGGATAAAGGAGAACAGACTTTGAGAAAGGGTCCTGGTCCCCTCCTGAGGGTCATAGGCTAGAGGATCCTTTTGGGGATAGGGAGTTGAGGTTGACTTCAGAGGCGGTCCAGTGGGGAGGACGGGCCTAAGATTTAATACAGGTAGTCACCTGAGCTGGTATCTGCATCTTCAGGGATAGGGAGGTACTAACAGACCAGAGGACAATGCTGATCAGTGGCAGGTAGCCCAAGCTCTGGGAGGGTTCTCCCTCAAAGGTGAGCTGTATGGCCTGGCTGACTGTGGCCATGGCACAAGAGAGGAGCAGCTTATTCAAGAGCTGATGGGGAACCACCCTAGAATCTTAGGCCCCAGTTAGCATCTGAAAATGTACTGAGAAGAAGCTGAGGATAAGAACAGTTCCCTCCTGGCATAGGGACTCTCAAGGCCCATGAACCTTTCTGTGGTGGGTGGGCCGATAGAAGTGCCTCCTGCCTTGTTTCCGAAATGGTTTCCCTGCCTATATACTTGGCCACTAGGTGGTGGCCAAGGTTTGTGGCTCTGCAGAAGGCTTTGGAGAGAAGGTGATAGAATTTCCATGCCCTTGCAGGGTTGGCAGGGGCAGTTGATGTGCCACGGGGAGTATAAAATAGGACCTCTGGCTGAGGATGTCCCTCGCAAGAGGACCAGAACTGACTTGAGCCTTGGCTTGTCCAAATTTTACCTACCCAGGTCTGGGGGAGAATGGCCCCTTTGGGCTTGATTCCTGGCCCTAACCCCAAGGTTCTGACTTAATGGGCCTAGGTTGGCATGCTTGGTGATTAGACAAGTTTGGGAAAGGCTGGGAAGTTAGAGATGATGGTTCCAATTTAGAATCCAATTTGCTACTTGCTCTGAAGTTTTAGACAAGTTCATCTCTGACCTTCTGTGGCCCCATCTCTAAAATGTAGCTCTTCCATCGTCCTTCCAAGGGATAAGCGTTATATAAGAAATGACTTATTAAAGTCACTGATACAACTTAGAGCTCCCCTAGTAATAACTGCTTTTACTTCCAGATATATATCACCTGCCATCTGAAGGTCACTTCAGCTGACCACGTCCCAGACCAACTAAACAAAGCCTGTTCCTTCAGCAAGTCTTCCAACAGGTGGGATTGGACATGGCTGGGGTAGAAAACCTGATTGACTACCCTTGTGTCTATTTCCCAACATGAATTATCAGCAAACTGCTTCTTGCAGGCAACCCAGTCATCTAATCCTTTTGACTTTCCCTCTCAGCTGGTCCCCAGTAGAAGGCACTGCTGATATCTGTCACTGCTGTAACAAGGGCAGCTGTGGCAGTCGTTCCAGGAGACTGGTGGGACAGCGACAAGAGTCTGCTTCCCGCAGGCGCAGGCACGGTAGGTCTTAAGTTGGCCATAGGGCTATTGCTCTCCTCATGGTCTAAGGTATAATACTTGCTGTCACTTTAGGGTGACATTCTTCCTCCTTATCCCCCATTTAAAGAAGTTTACTCCTAGGGATGCAATTTTGAGCTTTCTTTTAACAAAATATATTGCTATCAGAGCAGAAGGGAGAGGGAGAGAGAGATAGAAACATCAGTGATGTTTGAGATCATTAATCAGCTGCCTTCTGCATGCCCCCTACTAGGGATCAAGCCTGCAACCTGAGCATGTGCCCTTGACTGGAATCAAACCTGGAACTCTTTAGCCCAACTGGCTTGAGCTTTCTTGATTAAAACAAAACCTAGTTCAGCTCACTGAGGCAGGGCAAAACCGTTAACCTGATTCCTGGTGAGGAACAAAGGTGACCCTTGGGTGTCTCATCTTTCAGTGACAGAAGAGGCAGATGTCACAGTGGGGCCACTGATCTTCGTGGAGAAGACTGCTAACCCTGACGTGGAGGAGTCGACCTCTTCTCTCACCTCTTTGATGCTGGGGTTAGTCCTAGCGATGGTGGCTTTCCTGACACTGGCCAACATTGTTCTGGGTCTTGCCAAGTGGCGTCGGGCTGCTTTCCACCCTGTGAAGTGACCTGTGTATGCTTCGCAATAAAAGAAGTGTTCGCAAAACATTCAAACCTGTAAAGAATTTTGTGAGTTTATTTGAGCCAAACTGTCGACAATTGCCAGGAAGCAAAATCTCAACGGAATGGTGGTTTCTCGTCTATTTTCATACATTGCAATCAAAGAAAGGGATGTAGGTAGATCACATGAAATCCATTGGTGGTAGATTAGAGAGTGGGAGAAAGCAAAGGGGGAGGGGGGCGATTGGCTAAAAAGTAAAATTATAGACGTTTACTTAGGTGGGTGCAGGAACAATTAACATAACAACGAAGGAATTTGTGGTATCTGTCCTGGCGCCCAGGCACATTAGGTTGAGCCCCAAGAGGTTTGTAAAAAGGGAAGTTACAAGTTACCCAGACATCTCAAGGATGTTATTATAGATGCAAAAAGACAAGCTCAGCAAAGGTTGACCTTGTCAGTGAAGATAGAGGCCTAGGATGTAACTACCCACCATTATTGCTTTTAGTTAAAAGGTTTACTTCAGACCATCCTTTGTGGTTACTTTAGGTCTCTGAGTTTGCAAGCCTTCCCTGAGCATGTCAAGTTAGCAGGTGCTAGATCAGCAAAGTGGGAGCCGTGGGTGTGGAGGGAGGAGAGAACAGGGAGAACCTGAGCCCCGGAGGAGGATGGAGTAGAGAGGGAGTAGGGCTGGTGAAAAGGAGCCACTAAAGGGTCTGAGTGCCCTGGATGGACCATGCCTGTTAGGAAAACCAGCTGAAGCAGCAGAGAGCATGGCCTGGAGGCTGAGAGAAAGCCAGCCTGTCTCCTCGCCACCACTGGTGTGGCAGGTCCTTCAGTTACAGGACAGGAATGTCTGGAGGCTGGGTGAGGAGAGCACGTGGGATCCTGGTTCATGCAGCAGGACTCTCAGCGCCAGATGCTTGTCTCTCAAGCACCCAGCTCTACCCCTGACGGAGCCTGTTTACTGCTGCTTAGCAACATGATCCTGTTTCGGATGAGGAAGTTCTCCACTTCAGGGTTGTTGTGAGGATTAATGTGAAATGTGGTGTTAACGAAAAAAACCATTGAAACCTGTAAAGAATTTTGTAATGAGTTTATTTGAGCCAAAAATGTCGACAATTGCGGGGAAGCAAAACCTCAACGGATTGAGAGTGCTCCAAAGAATGGCGGATTACATTTCTCTATTTATACACTGAAATCAAAGGAGGGACATAGGTGGGTTACATGAAATTCATTGGTGATTGAGTAAGAGGCGGGAGGAAGCAAAAAAAAAAAAACGGTGGGAAACTCCTGGGATTGGATAAAAGTAAAATGATGAACGTATACTCAGGTGAGTGCAGGAACAATTAACATGATAAAGAAGGAATTTGAGGCATCTGTCCTGGTGCCCACCTCATTAGGTTATTTCCCCAGGGGCTCCGGAAAAAGGGAAGTTACAAGTTACCCAGACTTCTCACAGATATGTTATCTTAGATGCAGGAAGGCAGAGAGGCTCAAAGTTGATCTTTGTCAGGTGAAATCTCTGGGACATGACTACCTACTATAACCTGTTAGATATTTAATTTTCAGACCATCTCTTGTGGTTATCTTAGGTCTCTGGGTTTGCAAGACTGCCACACAGGCCTTCCCTGAGCTTGTCAGGTTAGCTTGTGGCTCTTTTCTTTCACAGTGGTGTCCAGCATGTGCTCAATCCAAGCTGTTTTATAAGCAAAGGCTACTCCCAGAACACCCTGGGGACCGTCCCTGCCTTAACACCCATTACTTGCCCTCATGTTCCTGGATGTTGCAACACCTTGGGAACTCTTCTCTCATTCTACTTCTGTTGTCTTCAGCAGAAAGAGGAAGTAGATGTGCCTGGGGTGGAGAGGAGGGGTGACTAGAAATTGACCTGAAAGTTAGCCCAAACTCAGTTCCAGATGGCCTCAACTCGGCAGGAAGCTGGCCCTGGGCAAGCCCAAGAGGCAGCCTCCAGCAGTAATGTCAGAGGGTCCTGCCTCCCTCCTCAAGAAGGAACTTGAGTGGGAAAGGGAGGGAGATGGCTGAGGATGGTCAATTGTCTTTCATTGCTTACAGCTGCCCCTTCCGCTGGTGTTTGGGGTAGCTTCCTGTTCTATCCTGTGACACTCTCAGTGAACTAACACTTTTTGTGCAGGTTTAAAACTTTGCCTTTGCTGTCAGGGGAAAAAAAAGGGGATGAGGTATGTTAAAGGACAAGAGAGGAAAAAAAAGTCATGATCATGCAAATACAAAATGAAAATGAGTCAAAGATTTTGTTTTAACTCATGCACTGAGGGAAACTAAGATGTAAATAACTGGTTCAAAGGAAATTGCAAATAACATTTATATAAAAGGCAATCAGGAATGCAGAGATGAATTTGCTGATAGATGCACAAATGGCTTCTCCCACAGGCAGAAATCGAAATTGATTGCATCTCTAAGGACACGATCATTTGCAAACATTTGCATTACTATAGATTTTCTACAATTTCCAGAATTGTAAAATATCTTAGACAAAGACTAGGAAATGCACAGACTCTTATGGAATCAGATAACCTGAAAGAGCTAGAGAACACCCAATAATATTTTTGCTTATTTCAAAGACTTGTCACAAATTTTCCTCACAGGTTACAGGTTTTTTAAGTGATGGATTCTAAGCTGCTCCTAAGGGCTAACGGAGGTTTTCATGGAAAGGTTGGATACCACCAGAAAGATAAAACTGTGTCTCCCAAAAGGCTTCTCTCCTTCAGGCGTTAGGGTAAAAAGCCTGGTTTTGTTGTGGGCGACCCGCGAATGACGACCACCAGTCAGCCAAATTGGAATTTAGGAAGCCTTTATTATGAACTCGAGTCTGGGCTCACGTCTCAACTGACGTAGCAGCGAGCAACGAGAGCCCCCGACCCACTCTAAGCATCCCCGTCTTAGGGATGCCTGGCAGATTATGATTGGCTAAAAGTTTTAACAAAGAAACGTCAGTTATAAGTTATAGAAAAATTCCACTAGTACAGTAACATTTAAAGTTTATACAACACCTGGGGTGGGGGTTTATTTTCAGCTTAAGCAGTCTCTGACCTGGTTTGGTCAGTTTGTCCTGCCTTGCCGCTACTGGAAACAGGACGTGCCTGCCTGGGGGTTGAGCCTTGCAACAGAACTATTTTATGACTAACAGTTATGCTAGATTCTTTGTTGTGGGTCTGGTTGCTCGTTCCTTCCCTGGCCTGGAGTCCTGCCTCGACAGGGTCTTGCTAGCCATCTGGAGCCCCACCTCCACTGGGTCTTGCCAGCCACAACAGTTGGTCCACACACTAGAATCGATCCCTTCTCTTGAGCAACTCTAGATCCCAAACCAGAGTGCCAGAGCACTTATAACTAGAACACTATCTGGGGATGGGGGGATACAGGTCCACTGTGACTATTTAGTGTAAAAGCAAGCTCCTTAGGTGAATTCACTGAGTGCAGTTCATTTTGGATTTGCCGCAAGGAAACTAGCAAGGATGAGCCAGTTCAAAACGTGTTCCACGGGGCAAGACTTACAAAAGACGATTCCTTTAGGGGATGGGGCTGCAAAGCCATTGTACTTTTATTGGCTAGCTCACACCTAGGTCCTGAGTGGGCACCATCACCCAGAGCTGCCAGGTGTTATTAAATAGAAATAATGAGCAAAGCAGTTGTGGCTTCTAAACAGACACACCCTCCAGAGTGTTGGATGGAGGCCAGTGAGCATGAGGCACTGACTGAGCAACAAATTTCTGCCTTCGCAAGCAAAGTATCAGAAAGTGCTCAAGCCCATTAACCGAGGCCTGGGTTTACTTTGATCTGTTCTTGCTCCAGGGAGAGCTGGGGGCTGGTTCCAGGACTGGAGCCTTTGAAAGCAGTAAACCCTGACCCCTGGAGTAAGGTTTAAGAACTTAACAAATAAAATAAAATTTAAGTTTCTCTTGGTTTCTCGCAGCCACCACTCCCCATTCCATGGCTAATTCCATCTTGGGCCATTCATTCTCAGCTGCTTGGGAAGGCCTGAAGGCTACACTAACTCCAGCCTTTGAGACATTAAAAAAGCTGCCTCCCTGGGCAGGTGATTTAGGGCAGTGGTTCTCAACCTTCCTAATGCCCCGACCCTTTAATACAGTTTCTCATGTGGTGACCCCCAACCATAAGATTATTTTGGTTGCTACTTCATAACTGTAATTTTGCTACTGTTAATGAATCGTAATGTAAATATCTGTGTTTTCCTATGGTCTTAGGCTCTACAGCAGCAGCAGGGTCGCCTAAGACCATCGGAAAACACAGATTTGTCGCTGTGATTTGGGACAAAGAGCCCTAGCCAGGAAGGTTTCAGCTCCCACTTACCCCTAAGCTTCATGCCTGTGTGCAAGGCAAACCTAATCCACTGCGTGTGTGTGTGTGTGTGTGTGTGTGTGTGTACAATGCATTCTCACATTTTTCTAATAGAAAAAAAAATAATATAAGTACATAGTAAATAAAAATCTTAGCTCATCCCCTGTCTTGGAGCATCTTAAGTTTCCTCTGGGAAATTTCCTATGCCTACAAGCCTGTTTGTGCATTCAAAACAAAACAACACACCCCAAGCCTACCCCCCACACAAACAGGTACATGTTCTACTTTACACTCTGCTCTGAAAGTTCCTTTTTTCACCTTTCTTACCCTTTTTACTTAACAATAGACCTGTGAGCCTTCCTCAGTCTTTCTGCCTAGCATCCCAGGGTTATTGAACCAGCCTCCTTCTGCTGTGCAGGTGATTCTGACCCTTGGCCATTTGTATTGGTTTAAAGTTCCATTTGCAGGTGGCCAATCCTTTTTTCCTCATTTCCAGGTTCCTGGGAGCCATCCTGCTGCAGTCACAGGACAAAGCACATCATTCTCTCCTGTCTAAAAAGTAGAAGTCCATTCTCCCCATATTCCCTCTTGCTGCTGTCCTATTTTGCTTCTTTTCATGATCAGAACTCATTATTTCCCCCCAAATATAGTCTTTCTTTTCAGGTTATAAAA